GAACCTATTGCAATAAAACGGCAATTTCATACTTTAACCCCTAACATAAATTTAGCGGTATGTGGGAAAACTTATTATGTTATACTAGAACGTTTTGTTCTTAGTGCTTTTGTAATGTAATAATAAATAAACACAAAATAAAAAATCATGGAGCAATAGACGCTTTAACATTATATTTAATTATTCGTTATGGACTTAATAGATTTTAATTTGTAGGTCGGAGAGACGTCTTTCATTATAATTAATAATATATTTAATACGAACATGATATACAATAATAAACAACTATTACTAATATTAAACTAGATTACCTGGAGACAATGAAACTTGTGGCAGTTAATAGTACTTAATATGAAGTGTAAAGATGCCAATCTTTTATATACCTATGTAAAGGTCTGAAACAATTACTAGTTTCATAAGAAGTTCCTGTACTTATGAAACTAATTCAAGGACGAATGAGATAAGACAATTGTTCAAAGTTCCTTGTGAATCTTTACAATGCGTCATTACGTTAAAAATGTAGTAATAATAAATTCAACAAAGTAACAACTGGTAACGCCTTGTCCTTGTCTTGCATATTACCGTAACTATATAAAGGGGAATACAGACAATATTCATCTCTGTTGCGGAGATTCTAGTTAGGAAATAATGCATTAAATTCAAACGTATTGTAGGTACTTATTAATTCCCTCAAAATAATGCCTTCTTGACAATAAAATTTTCTGTCGACTATCATTCTACTAGATTTCCTCTACTGACTCTTTCTTATATAGGGGAACGTGGGGTGTTGGGAGATGAGAGCGGTGTTAAACTGGACGTTCCCAATGCTCGTATTTGTGCAAATGGCACTCCTATGACTTCGTTAACGTTCGCCAAGGTTCGAGTTCTGTGGGCGCCCCCGTAGAACCCCGCATTTAGTGGTATTTACACTAGCCATGTCACTATATCTATCAAATTTTAGAAGTCATGCTTGAAATCACCATAAAAATAGAAATGTTATTACTGTTTTATTCCTTTTTCAATTCGATGTTACGCGGGTAATGAATATTCTAATATACATATAGAATGCAATAGTCACGGGATATTTCTTCAACACTTTCTTGTTTAATCTCATTACTTATTAACTTATATATTTTATTACTTTTTTTTTCAGACTGATTATATATAATGGCTCCCATTTGATATACGAGATTCTTACCGGCTCCCATTTCCCGAACTGTGGGGTAATGGGAGCGAATGACATGTTTTAGTTTTTTCTTTTTAACCAAATATTATATTTTACTTTCACATTTTTTCTGTGATTATCTAGTACCCAGATATGTGAAGCGTACGTTCATAACTAAAAAAATTTAAATTGCATAAATTATGACTTTTATTATCAATTTTCCTTAGTTGGCTCCCATTCTCCCACGCTCCCCTACTCAACATGTTATGGTTTGGATTTATAACCATAATAAGAACAATGAAACTGAATATTAATCATAGTAATTATCAATACAAAGATCGAAAAAAAAAATAATTCCTTCTTTTATAATAGTAGTTGCTTTTTTTATAATAGTAAGTGACGGACGAACAAGTGGTGCGACACGCCTATCCATAACAATAGTAGTGCCACTCATAGAGCTTAAGATCGCAAAGATCTCCGCTCACGCGATGTGCTCCTCCTAGCGCAAAATGGCGGCTATTTGGTTTCGCAAAATAGAAAAGGATTCAGTTTAAATACAAGTATTTTATAAGTAAAAATTATTATTCTGCATTGCTAAATAAATACCCTCCGTACTACCAACAAAAGCATCTCAAATAAAATGCAGTAATACACCGCCAATCCTGCACTTAAAAAGCACTAATGACATTTTTGGTGTACTTGGATAAATATGATAATATCCCGTTTCAGTAGTTCTTACGTTTACCATGAAATTACTCCTTAAAGTATAGTTTATAAACATTTATATTCAGGGTAAACTTAAAAATCGCTACTTACGGTATGTTTTAAATAAATAAACACCGAAATCACCAACCCAAACAATAACACACACGATTGTCGTGACGTATTTTTGAAGTTGTTTATATTTTTAAAATGACAGACCCAGGTATTAAAAACTTTATGGTTTGCTAGAATAGTTACCGAAATAGCAATTAATATTCGTTCTTTTACCTGTTACAACTTCGATATCCGATAAATCGGTATAAAATCATCACCGGCACCTCTAGGTGTGGTATGCGTCTACGGCTGCATGTATCGCGTGAGCGGTTAGAGGCACTGCCTCTGCGCTCGTCACCCTGAGACATAAAGTTGACAAGTCCCATGTGCCTGTAATTTCACTAGCACTCTTACCTTTCCGAACCGGGATGCAATAAAGCTGACATTACTGCTTGGCGGCAGAAATATATAAGGTGGCAGTACTTCCCTGGACGAACTTCTTGACAAGGAGCTCTACCGCTACTAGCGCTCTGCGCAACTATACTCGTACATTCGTTGCGCAACTATATGGTTTGTAAAACTGTGGTGGGTCGTTTTCAGATAACCTCAAAAAATTTATCACTTTCAATAACTTTTATATTATTACATGAATGCTAAGCGTTATTTATTTAATATGATCGCTTGTTGACTTAGTCTGTGTTACACATAAAAAATACTTTACTACGCCACAGCAATAAATGAAAATAAATAAAGTGGGTAATTTCTCTTTCTTAAGAACAGAAGAAAAAAATTAAACTCTAGTGGAAATTGCAATATTTCCCATCGAGGATAAACTCTAATAACTTTTTTCGTCGAATACATACCGTAACTTTCCAATTTATTATGAACAAATATGTTTTCTTGGGAATACAAAAAGTGTTTTTAATTTTTCTTATCATTAGTGTTAATTCAACTAAAAGCCTCCTAATTACTAAAGTTCATACCGCATCACCTTCATCCTTCGCACACGTGAGAAATGGTTCCTGTCGGATTGGAGTGTACACAGTGAAGTAACCTGAGCATCTCCGTTTTAGCAAAAAATCGACTTAAATACCAATTTCAGCGCTTGTAGTTACAAGCGCAAATCGTTCTCAACATGTAAAGCAATCTATCTAAATAAGTATTAAGTAATAGTCTTATAAACTTTATTGTAGATCAATTAGACAAAGGGAACTTTAAAATCCACACACTTTTATAACGGTCCAGCATATTTTACGGCCTTGACAACTAAAAAGTAAATAATCAAATATCATTCTTGTCGCTTTCATTCCTGTCTACTTTTAAGTAAGATATTTACTTTAAATATAACAATTAGATGGTGATAATGTTGGTTATGATAGTGGCGATGATGATGGTGGTGGTGATGATGACGATGATGATGGCGATGATGATGATTGTGATGATGATGTGAGTGGTAATGATGCTGATAATTATGGTGGTCACGATGATGATGATGATGGTGATGATGATATATTGATGTATAATAAAGTTTATATGACATTAATAAAATACTTGTTTAGATTTATTTATTTATTTATTACATTTGGCCTTGCCAGATGAGAAGGATTTTGATACAAGAGGTGATATTAAAATATTTGTTACATGTTAAAAATTGTTAAATTTTTTTTGTGAACAATACAATGTGGGTTGTAATAAAACTTTCTCATTACTGCGCCATCTTTCGTCATTTATGTTACTTATTAATGAGAAAATCATTCGCGTTAGTGTAATCTCATTCGTGTGACCTAAAATATCGTTTTTGTTGTATTTCACTTAAATATTTCTGTGATTTAATAATTATTGACATTTTTGGAACTTATTTGTATGTTTATGACCTTAAGAGCAAAAGAAAAAAGGTTTTTCCAAAAATCACTCTAAAAGTGCCATTGAAATTCGGAAAATTAAATTCACCCTGGTACAACACAGGTGGGTTGGAAAGGTCCAACAGTGGTGCGCTGAATGGAAACTTAGATGTTGTTTTACTGAATCAAATAAGACATTGGTATTTGATACTACTTAGTTAACAGTCCCGTCAATGAGTGATTAAGTTACTATTCAGTTTATTGTATACTTCCCAACAATGCAATGTAGGTAAATTATTTTTTTGTTATGACTTTACATGTAACGTAGGATATTTTTTCACTTTTCCGGGATAAAATTTGTAAATTTTTGGAACAAAAACCCATGTTTGAAAAAAGTCGTCTATAACATACTATATAGAACCGTCTTAATGTTGAGAAATCAGGGGTTGTATACAGGTCGGAAAACTTTACTTGCGCGTTTTTAAATTGGTAAAATTACTGGCACATGGGACTTGTCAACTTATGACTCGGGTGATGGGCGCAGTGTCAGTGCCTCTCAGATCTTTGGATTTAAAGCTCTAAGTATCACTGCAAATATTATGAATAGGCGTATAGCGTACTATATTCATAGTAAGCGTACTAAAGGGTTTTTCAACAAGAACTTGTAAATCAAAATAAAACAATAAATTTAGATGACAATGATTAAAATTTTTATTGTATTAAAAAAGTAAGGTTTGGAAATTATGAATGAAAAATTATATCTGATAAATGTCCATTACGACCACAGTTACAGATGTCGATTCTTTCATCAAAGTTTTTAATAACTTTTTGACAAAATGGTGGGTCTATTTTACGAAATATCACTTCACGGATTTTGAGTTTTAAGGCTGCAATCGATTCGATTGGCTCCGTATAGACTCTGTCTTTAATATAACCCCATAAAAATAATCCAGCGGTGTTGAATCACATGATCGAGCTGGCTATTTAACGGCTGAATTTCGTGAAATTATGCGATCGGGAAATTATGGTTTGCAATCAATTCATTGTTTCGGTGGCTATGTCACTTGTGGCACTGTCTTGTTAAAACCACATGCTAGTGATATCCATATCACCAATAATAGGCCAGAATTGGGTTGTTAACATCTCTCAATATCGTAATCCATTCACCGTAAACGCATTTCCAGCCGAATTTTCGAAAAAAAAACGGCACAAGTCACACAGCCACCGAAACAATGTATTTATTGCAACCCAAATTTCCCGATCGCAGAATTTTACGAAATTCAGCCGTTAACTAAAAAATCCTAATTAGAGAACTTAAGTAAGAATACAGAATATCTTTTAATTGTTAAGGAATCAATTGTTAGCTGTTGATCATTTCATGTTAAATAAATATTCCTAACGATGCACGTTATTTATTATTTGTTCACGTAGTTTGTAATTCTCAAGATAAACATTTGTATTGTAATAAAATAATATTTATAATGTACGCTAGTACATAGATATCGTTTATAATAATATGATTTTTTCAGACATAACCTAATCAAATATAGATATGTGATTAGGTAGGTAGGTAGATATTTTTGCTGAATTACATATAATATGGAATAAATTACTAAATACAAATATTGATTTTGGTCATTTTCAAAAGTGGAAGTGTACAATTACAAAATCATTTCTAATGGAGAATAAAACAAGGTCAAAGTTTGAAGGTCGATATATGTATATTTTCCTGAGTAATTGATTTTATCTCCAAAATCGCTCAACAAAATGTGACCATTTTAATAGCATTTTTCCGTCTATGACAGTATAAATATCAACGACTTTTTTGAATTTGAGTCTTGTACTGTTTTCTGTGCACATATAGAAGAACTACTTAAATAGAGTAAGAAATTATTGTCTGCCCCATATTTTTAATTATTATTAATTTTATTTCTACGGTACAAAGTCTACTCCATCTAGACTTAAACATTCGTAGTAGTAGGTACAGTATTAGTAGGTTTAGATACTTTTACCAATTTCTTACGGTTTATGACATTTATTTCTCAAAACAGAATACAAAACCTGGAATAAATCCGTTTTGTCCGCTACCAACTTGAGGCGGTTGAACTTCTGTGGCGCGTCGCTTCCGGCACAACGCAGAAAGCGGTCCTGCTCGATAAGGCACATATTGTTCGCTGGTCCTTAAACCTGAATCCCTGACCACGGCCGACTGCGCCTTTGTCTGGAAATACTGCCTCTCCCATTTAAAAATTCAAAAGTAATCTTTTAGGTCATGGTAAAGGTGGGATTCAAAATATATAACCAAAATAATAATAATAAAAAGTAATTAAAAATTTGACTTAATAATTTCTCCATCAACAGAAAATGAACACTCTGCTGGTGGCAGTGCTAGCGTTGGCTCTACCGTTGGCGTTCTGCTACGACGAGATTTTTGATAAGATCGATTTGGATAAGATCCTCGGCGATGACAATCTCTTTAATAAATACATTGACTGCCTGCTCGACAAAGGGCCATGTGAACCCATGGAACACGCGCCGGAATTCAGGAGTAAGTTTTTTTTTTACATTTAGTCATTTTTTTAGATTTATCTCTTGTTCCCACAGACCAACTGTTCCCTTTCACAAATCCATAGAAAAACAATCATAAAAACACATGAAACGACGCGTCAGGTTCATAAACTTTATATCGTTAATAAATAATAATAATAATATAATACACACATCAAAAGTGTCTAGGGATCAAGTACGTTTAAGAGTATTGCTGCAATTAGGGTTAATTATATTAACTTTTTTGTATCGCTATTGATACTTTTTAGTGAGTTTTAACATTTAAATAAGGAATATTGTTTAAAATTCGATAATAAGAAGAAAATCGATTGTCAATGTGGTTTTGTATAAAAATGAGTTATAGCGTTTTGACAAAATCATTACAATATCTGCATCGGAACCGAAACAATTTACATTATTATGGAGAGACGACATCATTTAACCCGAGAAGTGATGATGCGAGCCGTCGGAATGTTGGAAGCTGGTTCCAGGCAACGTGCTGTGGCTTTCACTCTTAACACTACACAGAGCGTCATAAGTCGCCTCTGGACGCGCTATCGCATGACGGGCAGCGTGACTGAGCGACATGGAGGACGATCTCGCATCACGACTCGCAGACAGGACCGGTATATCCAAAATACTGCTCGACGGAATCGTACCATGACCGCCATGATGTTGGTTACGAGGCTCCACAGCTCCTCAGGCTTGCTAATAAGCGATCAAACAATCCGAAATCGTTTACGTGAAGTGGGTCTGCGATCCCGAAGGCCGCTCAGAGTTCCACCTATTGCACCCTGCAATCGCAGGACCCGTTTACGATGGGCTCGCGAACACAGCAACTGGGAGGAAGAAGACTGGCGCTATGTGTGCTTTTCGGATGAATCCCGCTTCGGTATGAGACCGGATACAAGACGTACTCGAGTTTGGAGAACATCTGGACGTCATGAACGTTTGAGATATTGTCAGGAAGTTCATCCATATGATGGGGGAACAATAATGATATGGGTCGGTATTTGGATCGGCGGAAGAACCGATCTCATTTGGATCAGGGGTAACCTCAATGCTCAAGTTTACGCAGAGAGGATTGTTTCAGATGTTATCATCCCTTTGCGAGGCCAGTTGGGTGATTCATTTCAACTAATGCATGACAAAGCACGTCCACACACGGCTAGAGTCGTAACACGCATTCTTGCCGAAGCTCGTATCAACGTTCTGCCGTGGCCTGCTCAATCGCCAGACCTCAATCCAATTGAGCACGCATGGGATATGCTTCAAAGAAGAGCTGTGCCGAGTATGCATACCGTACATACTCTACAACAATATTTTGACTTGTTACAAAACACATGGGCGGCCATTCCTCAAAATGATTTTGATGAACTCATCTTAAGCATGCCAAATCGCTGTAATTGTGTGATTCGTGTTAATGGTGGAAATACAGATTTTTAATTTTCTTATCTTTACAATAAAAATGAGCAAAATCATCATTTTCGCCATTTTTTTGTCATTTAATTGACGCCGTTAATTTGAGTTTTTTCCCACAATTTGCAAAAACATCAATTTTAGTTTATTTTAATTAAATATAGGGGTAAGCGGTTAAATAAAACATAAGCATTAAAGTAAGAACTCGTCCTGGAAGACTGGATTTGGTAAATATTGCTTAAATAATTTTTATTTCAAAAATATTCACTTGATCCCTAGACACTTGATGTGTGTAGTATGTGCCAGACATCCACACCAACTTCCTGGTCTCAAACTAGGGAATTCCCCGTATTATGAGAACTAAAGCAACGGAATTTACTCTGGGGCACTTCTCGGAACACCCAGACTAAAACCAATTAAGAAAAGTTCATTTCCAAAATTGGTCCCACTGGGAATCAACCCCGGGACCTCAGCATACATCGCCCACAATGTAAGCCGTTAGGCTACTGAGATCGTCACAAACATATGTCGCCAAATATACTCAGCCATCATTCAGCGTCAAAATAAAAAAATTGAGACCTAATTTTACTAAATTCGTCTGAAAACAATGGAAAATGCTTGTTAAATTCAATGAAATAAGGTTAACTTTTATTAAATATTTTCCGATCTATTAATCTTTTAAACTCATCGAGTATATAACTAGAAATAGAGACGAAATGCCATTTTAATTTGTATGAAAAGTAGTCTGCCAAATCATTACGGTGACAACTGCGCACCGATTGGCCAATTCAAAATATTTGACGGGTGTCGTCAATAGTTTCACTTCAAATCGACCAACGACTTGAGCTTTGCTATAATGGACGAAAATTGAAAAATTACATATTTAATATTTAATTACCCGATGAAATATGATTCCGTTTGTTTTGTAATTAGATGTTTTGCTGTTTTTCCCACACCGCCGAATGGAACAGCCACCCATAGTTAGAGATATTATCTTTATTACAATAAAATGTACACACTGGTCAGTTGTTGGCGCTGTACTAAGTATTTCAGTTTTCTAATTTGTGATTTCAGCGCAAACGAGAGTTGATATTTAAGAAATATAAGGCCCATTTATCTGATGAGTTGCCATGGATGGATGGCCCTTGTTTCGTCTCTATTCCTGGTTATATACTCGATGTTTAAACCTATTGAATTCATAAACGGATGTAATATTTATTTGTAGAGCTGGTACCAGAAGTGATAGCTGAAGCCTGCGCAAAATGTTCTCCAATTCAAAAGCAACATGTTAGGAAGACCGTCAACGCATTGAAGGAGAAAAAACCTGAGGCCTTCCAGCAGTTCGTTGAAAAATATGACCCTAAGGGAGTATATCAAGAAGCTTTTGCCGCCTTTATGATCGCTAAGGACTAAACCTGTGCTTCATCCTAAAACCATACTTACAACAAGTTATCTCTTTGGTATTATTAACTTTAAGGTCACATGTACAGTAAGTAACATAGGTTACAGAGGCAGGCTGACATTTCTTCCTGATTCACATCACATTCCTTCCTGATTGGTTTGTACTCGTTCATTGCTTTATCTAATCAATCTTGATACTCGACTATTGGTTCATAGTGGAAGTCACTGTATAGTGATAGCTACAAACCATTGCTCGCTGCATTTAAAAAGTATGATACTTTTTGTAAGAATGGCCTTTAGATGACTTCATAATTACATAGGCTAACTCATAATGGATTATTTTTAGACTATGTGGAGCATTTCACCTATTTTATATATGTGAATATAATTTGAACATTCATTTTGCTTGTTTTTATTTTTTATTTTATTACAACTCTTTTTGCTCGTAAACTCTTTCATAGTGGTAAAGTTCTGTCTTTGCAGAATCTTTTTTTTTTATAATATCAAGTGGCGGGACGAACAAGTCGTGCGCCTGATGGTAAGCTACACGCCTGTCCATAAAAGTTGCAGTGCCACTCAGAGCTTTAAATCGCAAAGATCTGAGGGGCACTGCCACTGCGCCCGTCACCCTGAGATAGAAGTTGATAAGTCCCATGTGCCTCTAATTTAACCAGCCAAATCTGCCGGGAAGGCACTACTACCTTATCTATTTAAACGGAAATTACATGTGGTAAGTGCCACATGCTCCTCTTTCATGTTTAAATAATTAAGCTCGGAAGATATTTCCATAGAAAAAGTCCTAATTAGTCACGACGTAAACATTTCGTATCGATAAACATCCTTGATATAATAAAGCCAAATCTGATCATGCATCGAAAGTGATTTTATTATAAGAATGAAATTACATGAAACAAATTATATGTAATGTGAAATTAAGTAGCAGTAGAGCTCCTTGTGTAAGAGTTCGCCCAAAGAAGTACTGCCACTATACCTATTTCTACAGCGTGAGCATTACGGCGTTTCAGTTTTGAAGGATAACTATGCTGGTGAAATTACAAGCACATGGGACTTGTCAACTTATGTCTCAGGGTGACGGGCGCGGTAGGAGTGCTACTCAGGTCTTTGCAATTTAAAATTCTGAGTGGCACTGCAACTGTTATGGACAGGCAAGTCGCTTACCACCATTTAAGTATAAAATACTGATCGACTAATGTCATTTGTGTTAAATTTCTCTCCTCAAAACTTTGCAGATCTGGTTTGATTGCACCAATGATGCTAACTATAGATGCATATGTTACCAGTATTGTACTAACACAATTTAACAAAACGCGTCATTTACACCAAAAAGTTATTTAAAAATAAATGAACATTCGGAATTTCCAGCAGCATAAGTAAGAACAAAAACTTTAATGACTGTTGTAAAAACAAAATGATACCTATCTAGTTGTCGTCATAATTATACATCTCAAGGTATCTAAACTGACAAACAGCTGGCTAACAGATGAATGACGTAAATCCATTAACTATTTATAGAGTAAAAATCGCAAAGCGAAACCATTACGTTACGGTGTACAAAGGAACCGACACCAGAACACATAAAAACTTAAAACAGGTTTGAAGTAGATAGAAACGTTTCAGTTAGCAACTAAGTTTAAAAAAAAACATAGATTACAAAATGTAAAACGATTTTTGTTTCTGGGTTATCAATATCATTTTATGATTGGTTCTAACATATCTTAACTGAAAAAACTTAGCTTTTGTGGTCAGGACAAAGAAGAGTGGCATTTGCATACCATTAAAGACGTAGAAATTTTTGGGTTTCTCTTTATATAAAGACAAAAAGGGAACATTAGATGTCAAATCTGTAGTACTTATTATTTTAACAAAATTCAAAGACAAATACAAATTAGTACAAATGAATCACAAAGAACCTGGACATGTAAATGGGCAGCTCACAGGCGAGGGTTTTATTCCATAGTCCGCCACACTGGCCTAATGCGGGTTGAGTACTTCACACGTTTTCCGACGGTTGTGAACCTTCTTCGAAGTGCAGGTTTCATCACTTCATGTTCCTTCGTTCTTGTTTTCTTAAACCGAAAAACTCATGGTAAATATTATTATCATTTCAAATTAAATTTTATAAATTCTGATAAATTCAAAAACAGAAACCGAAAATTTTTTTGTCATAAAGTGTTAGGGACGATTAATTGTACATATATTAAGTAACATACTAAATCCATTGACGAGGTCTAGAAAAAAATCATACTGTTGAATAAGTATATTACAAAATACAGCCCCCGGTGGCAGTGCCGTGTGCGTTAGAAAAAGAGAATTCGTCATGTGTGCTGTCACGTTCTGCTGATTATGATATTATATGTAGTATGTAATATTGTATTATGACCTGTGCGAGCCCCAATTCACGCCTTGTGTAAATCCATTTTTGCAAAAAGTAAGAGCAACACACGCACCTTGAAATTACTGTTAGCAAAGTTGACGCCTTACCACGTTAAAACTTCTTTTTGAGTGCAATGGCAGGCAGCGTGCTTGTTCTTGTTAACCAGTAGTATTTAAGGGCTAGATCATATTTTTATTACAAACAAAAGATTTTCACAAAAAAAGGATTTAACAAAATAAAGGACGGGACGGGTTTAGCTGCAATCTCCGCTTGCAAACAAAACTGTTTTAGGACGTTTCGTTGTTTTGGAAGGCTTCAACTTCAGTCGTGTTCCAAGGAAAAGCGTTATACCCCCGAAGCAATCCAACCTTTTTTAGTTATTAATTACTCTTTAATAAATTAAAAATTTTTATATTACATTTTTGGACCATTATGATTTGTGATTTATAAAATTGAATAAACATAAGTAACACTACGTTTATTTGAAATCGAGTGTATAATTTTTGTTTTGGAATAGTGTGTTTGTGTTGCTGTTAACTGCAAGCCTTCAAACGAGGTGTTTCGTCTAATAATTATTTAATGAATCATCATAAATTAACAGTAAGTACACGCCAAAGTGATAGTACCACGGAGTAGATTATATATAGGGCGCACTATAAGTTTCCGGAACTGGCCACTTACATAAACCATATTTAAAAAGTAATTACAACCTTTGAAAATGGAACTCTTTGGCTGTAGAATACAGTTTGTTTCATCTGACTGTCACTTGTTTTTACAAAGTGGCGTCATTTTAGAAATTGGTTGTCTACATCACCATGGATTTAACTCGTGAAAATTTTCGTAGTATGATTTTCTACGACTTTAAGTGTAATTTAACAGCTCAGCGGAGCTTCGCTCGGCTTCAGACTGTTTTTCGCGATGAAGCACCATGCAATATGACTTGATTGGTTTGCAGAATTCAAACGCGGTCGTATGAATCTCAGTGACGAATTTCGTGAATGCCGTGCTTACCAGATTCAATGAAGGGGCGTCAAATTTGGTGTAAGACATAGTAACAGGTGACGAAACATGGATTTATAGGTACGATCCCAAAACAAAGCAACAATCGAGCGTATGGATCTTTCGAGATGAGCCAAAACCAACCAGTGGTGGCGCGCGTGCAAAGTGCCTCTAAGCGGACGATTGCTTCTTTTTCTAATAAAACTGGACACGTGACTACTGTTGCTTTGGAAAATAGTTGTACCGTGAATAGTGATTGGTACACGACCATTAGTTTGCCGGAAGTTATTGACAAACTCCGTATAAATAACCGTAAACGCCTTATCATCTTGCACCACGTTAATGCCAGTTCTCATACGGCCAAACAGAAAAATAAATTTTTGAAGGTGAACAACGTTGACCTTATGAGCCATCCCGCGTACAGTCCCGACCTGGCACCTTGTGACTTTTATTTATTTCCAAAAATTAACCAGTTACGCGGTCAACGATTTTCATCACCTGAAGAGGCTGTCGGAGAGTGTGAAAAATATTTGATCAGAGATTGTCAGGGAGAGTGGTATAAATGTTTTAAAAATTGGTTCATTCTTATGAAAAAGTGCATTAACGCTAACGGAGAATATTTTGAGAAACAATAAATTCATTTCTGACCATTTATAGTATTTTTTTCTTATTCATTCCGGAAAGTTATAGCACGGCCCACGTAGTATATTTTACGCCGTATGTTTCACGCCGCCTTTTTTGCTTTTTTTTTTTGCTTTTTACAATAGTTTAACGCAATTGTAATGCTTCATCTCTTCATCGAACTCATAGAGAAGAGTAGTATATGTACATAATAACTTATCAGTAAAGCAGCCTCTACTCTGTCTGTCTTCAGATCTAGGCCTCATCCATATTTCTCCATTTATGTCGCGCCTGTGTCACATGCATCAAGATGCGAAAAGAGAAGTTGCCAGAACGCGAAAATGTTGATGTCATCCACCTTACGAAGTGGCGGACGGCCTCTGCCGCGCCTGGCTCATGGTCGTCACACCTTCTTATCGTATCGATAGCATACACTATTGCGGCCCAAAAATCAGTCATGCAATTACACCCACAATCTCAGTCATTCTCGATCCATCCTAGCTATATATCCTGCCAATATTAACGTATTATATCAGATATTTAATTGTTCCTTTACCTATCACAAACACGTCTGAAATGCAAAATCAATAGGATAGGAATGGTGTACCTTTTTTTATCAATTTGGTTGGTTGGTTGGCTGGTATTTTGTATTGCAAATTATGTGGATAAAACTAAACTACATCGTCAGATCATTTCTCATAACGATTCAACATCTGTGAAATGTGTTGTCACGAAGATTGTGCTCAGGCGTTATACAACTAGTTACGTCAGAGTGCAACGAGGTGCGCTGGCGCAACGAGGCCCTGCCTGACACAAAAACACACATGCACGATTACCGATTGCCCGCGCTCTAAATGCAGGACCTCGTTTTATCCAAGTTGGTAAACGTGTTGCAGCAGACCTTTACATATTTGACCTTTTAATTGAGGTGGTTATGTTTCGTGTAAACAGGAAAAATAAAAAAGGAAAACAAGATTATATATAAACGGATAATAATAGTACATTTGCAAAGTACTACCTAGAAATGAACATTGACAAAGTACTACCTAGGAATGAAACTATAATGGAGATATCAAAGTAAATTCATAAAATTTTGTTTATTACAAGAAGCAATTTTATCTATAAAAAACCGATAAGTTAGTATAATTATATTAACTTCTTCTTAAGTCCATATTTCAAAAATAAATAGTAACAATTTTATTAATTTGATTTTCATCCAATCAAATTTGAAATTAATAACAGATAAAAAATTGTTCTAAGTACATCACAGGGTCACAAATAGAAAGCATTATTATTAAGTATAAATAAACGTAATTTTATATTACGATTTCAAAAATTAATTTAATTTAATTTAATATACTCAAGCATCAACTATTTATGGTGTCTAAGAAAATAATAAAAGAAACAATTTCGTAATACACCATGAACGTATAGTGTTGATAATTTAAAATGAAGAAATCCTTAGCCTAACTTCGCGTAAATATTTAACACAAAAAATAGAAATGCAAAAAATTACAAAACTGCTGCAAGGACAATGTTAAAAGTGTTATAAAACAATTCAACAAAACGTTTTATAAAACGTAATCAAATTCGTAAGAGCTTATGTGGATGCAGTACCTAACCTTGCATAATGCATCAAAATTAAGGTGAATAAGAGAGACAAATCAACTAATCTGATATATAACTTATCCTACATACTTTAAATTAATGTAACATTTAGCTGCTACCCTGGATAAATTTATCAAAATTGGCGCGGTGCTTGCCAGATGGGTCATTTTTCGTCACCAAGTCGTCCCAGTACTTAGGATGTTTCTGTTGGATAGCTCTTATGACTTTTCTGATGTTGGACTTTTGCTTATCACTGCATTTTGCGCACGTCGTCTCGATCGCCTCAGGTAAGGCTTCTGTGAATTACAGAAATAACAATGGTTACAAATTTTTAAACGAAATGAATGTATAGATCAATATATTTTATTGCACTGACTTCACAAAACCGTAATATATCCAGAGTAAGCTAATGTACGACAGGCAGCCGTATTGCTAAGTAGCAATTTTTTCCAGGTAACCAAAGGATAGAAACTTGAGAGCTGGAAAGTGGGGTTGAAACCAAACAATATTTTCTAATGGAAGTGTTTTATATAAGTACATTACATTACACATTAATAAAATAAATGGAGAAGTAAAAATAACAAATACGTTCATTATTAGAATATTTTGTAGATAATAATATATATTAATGAGATCTATTTACATACATTTGTAGGAAAATTAAATTATAATAAATAGATAAACATAGCAAGATTACAACAATATGCAAAAAGGAAATAAATGAAGGCAATGGAGAGAAAATGGCTGGAAAAACTATTCTTAGGAGTTAAGGAAATATTCCTTAACACGTCGTTTGAAGGACTCAAGAGAAGGGGATCATAGAATAGGTTCATTCAGACAGAGAATGCTCTAGGCGGATAGCAGACACAGTAAATGAGTTGGAGTAAAAATTGGGTGCATGAGATATGTAGTATAAGTGTATTAGAGGACCGAAGAGAATGGCAGGGTGTAGAAGAGTGAAAAATAAAGAATGACAATATTTTTAGTTGTTTTTTTAATTGTGTCTATCTAACACAATTTGGAATCTAACCAACTGGTTAGAAAATTCACACGATGTGGATTGTTGTGATATAAAAAACATGTAGTCAATTTCAAATATCTAATCAGTATACTTTTAATGAGGATTTATAGCTTATAAAGCGTACTTTAATTTAAGTTTTAAGATGGTTTGTTGTCTTTTTTATTGTATATAAGTGAATAATATAAAAAACTAAACAATAGTATGTTCTTACGTCCAGATATTATCATATCATAAGTTTAAAACATTTTGGTGATACGTTAGTGTGTACTGTTATTGTAGAATTACGTAGTAGTAGTAATATATGTAGATTTACATTAAAGACAAAGACAATTTTAAGCTTGTAGTAAATGAATAATCGATATTATCAAGACAATGAGCATTCAACACAAATTAAAGTCAACAAACTTCGCGTCGACTTTTTTGAGTGTGTGCATTATTAATGTGTGCCTTATTGTTACAATTGGACATAACATACTTGGATCGCATTTGCAGCATCTTAAAAAAAATCCTGGTTCACTCATCCATAGATAAAGCTACTTCATATCAGCCTGATTTTACCCACTGCTGGGTATACGCCTCCAAGTTTCTGTGCCACTCCCCACGGTTCCATGTTAATCTCATCCAGGTTCGCCCCACAATTCCTGCAATGTCCTGTATCCAGTCCTTGGACGCCACTCAGTTATCGCCTTACTCCATTTGTCATCTTGTCTCCGGATACGGGCTGATAAGCCCTGCTCTTGGCTTCGTGATACGGTTCCCGACGTCCTTTAGCTTTGTTCGACTTTTTATCGGAACATTGGGAACACGGTTTACAAGCTTGATACCGAACATCAGGGCACGCTTCATGGTTTTCTGTGCAACTCTCATCTTATACCCAGTCTCCTGCGTGAGCGTCCTTGTCTCGGCACCGTAGGTCATGGTAGAACACACTGATTATATAGACGGGTCTTCAGTCATTGTGAAATGTTGGCTAACTTAAGAATGGTGTCCAACTTGCCAAACGCAGGCCACTCGAGCTAAATTCTTCTGTTCTCCTCCATTTGAATAATCTAAATCTCCTTCATTTGATGCTCCTTGGCAAAAGATAAAATATGCCCAAGATAAACGTATTGATCGACAATCTCCAACATCTCACTTCCAATTGTGACGCTTGAATTTGTGACAATGGAGACGTTCGCCATAACCTTAGTCTTGGAGATATTCATCTTGAGGCCCACCCGCATAGAAGCATCATACAGTAGTTATAGCATACGCTGGAAATCGTGAAAGTTTTCAGTTAAGAGTACTGGTCGCTTGCAAACCTTAAGTGGAACAGGAAGACGCCATTGATGTGAATGCCACATTTCGTCCAATCGAGTGTTTTTGCTATGTCCTCTAGCACAGCAGTAACAAGTTTTAGCGAAAAAGCTACTTAAATTAACGTTTTTTCTAAAAGCTACTTAAACTGTCACTTTTAAAACTGCAATTTCGAACGCTAATTGAACACAAAATGCAATTTTCAAAAAACAATCGGACTCATTGTAGGTGTGACACATGACACATGATAAAAAAAAGGTGTGATATTGACACACAGTATTTGATAATTGTGAAATATAAATAATACCTGTTGATGATCTCAAAATTTTGTTTTGTAGATATCGGACCGGTTATAGTATTCTGAAGATAAAATCACCAAGATTGATGAACAATAATAAAAAAAATACGATAAGTAAACTGCATATAGTAGTTTTTTTTTTGCACACCTTACACAAATTGGAAAATGCCCTGGGTTTCGGAAGTTCGCGACGTATAATAATAATAATAACGCAAATACTCAACATAGTCCCGCACTAGGGAAACCCAATGTCGCGGATGCCATGGACACACACATAGACAACCACAAATTACACCCAAATTCACGAGAGGAGTAAGTTTAGGCCGTACATATATTTCTACCGGCCCGGGAATCGAACCTTGGACCTCTGCGTGGCAGTCCGGCTATAGTAACTATAGTAACCGTTCGGCTACGGAGGCAGTTAAGTTAGTATTAAAAGAATTAAGTCGCCGACTCAGAGATAAAGGCTGCGATCGCTGCTGCTGGTGCGTGGTAGGTTCAATAAATGCCCATTCCCACCTAGGAAGGCAATGCTGCCAGTATAATGGGAACTTTTTAGCCAGTCACAATACATGTTCGGAAATATTTGGCTTAATTTTTTTTACGAAATCTTTGGTAACCTTTAGCAATAGTAAAACTCATTGTGAAAGTATTCGTCCAGGGAAGCAATGACACCATACACATTTCTACCGCCAAGCAGTAATGTGAGCATTATTGCGTTCCGACTCTGAAGTGACATGATAAACAAGTGTTGTGCCTGGTTTTAAGCGACACGCCTGTCCATAACAGCTGCAGTGCCACTAAAATCTTCAAATCGGAAGGATCTGAGGGGTGCTGCCACTGTGATATAATTTTTTCATTTTGTCACCCTGAGATATAAGTTGACAAGTCCCATGTACCTACAATTTCACCAACACCTCACACTCTTCAAAATCACAACGCAGTAATGCTCACAATAATGCTTGGCGGCAGAAATAGGCAAGGTAACAGCACTTCCCTGGACGAGGTCGTTCAGGAGCTCTACTACTACTGAATGTCATCATAGATGTTATCGTATTCAAATGCGTTTATTCTGTCTCATTGTGACCAGTGTACGTAATACCTTCAGCAATTTGATAGCGTATTATTACAATCACCACCACACGACTGTTTTAACGTGATTATACTACCAAACTACCTATCGACAATATGTTTCTCGATATCCTTAGTCGAGTGTCATTTCAAAAAAGGCGACACCTCGACCTCGGCCCTGTTTGTGTAATTATATTATGTTATATGAGTAAACACATTAAAAACTTGTCCCTGTATAGTTATGTAACTGTCACAAATCAAATGTCGTAATTTTGTACGACAAAAGGTTAAATCACGTCAATTAAATACAAAATTAATTATTTATCAAATAAGCGACGTATATTTTGAATGGCATCACGCCATTCATTTTTGAATGAATGAATGAAATATTCTATATTGCACGTCATAAATTACAATGACAACTTAGAACACTAATGCAAGTATCACAGAGTAAGCTAATGTACAAAAGGCCGCCTTATTGCTAAATAGCAATTTTTTCCAAGCAACCTTAGGATAAAGGACAGGACCTCAGTGGCGCAAAACAGAGAGGTGTGGAGAGAGGGCAGGGAGGCCTTTGCTCAGCAGTGGGACAGTACAGGCTTATAAAAAAACCTAAGGATATAGATTTAAGAGTTGGAAAAGGGTGTACAACCAAAGAATATCATGTAATGAAGTATTTTAAATAGATGCTATGAAAATAAAAACATAATTAAAATATATACATAAATAATATATAAGTAATAATAAGATTACTTGTATACTTTTGTAGGAAAATAAAATAAATAATAAATAGTAATATTAATAAGTAAATAAACAAAGGAAGATTATAATACTATGCAAAAAGGAAATAAAATTAAACGTTCCTTAACACGTCGTTTGAAGGAATCAAAAGAAGGGAATCGATGAATAGGTTCAGGGAGAGAATTCCATCGAATAGCAGATACAGTAAACGAACTGAAGTAAAAAATTTGTTCTCATTTATCTTAAAGAAATTTAATGCAATTAAAAGTTTAATATAAAAATAGGTATATTCAATAACTTATATGCCAAGAATATTAAGGTCTCATATTATATAACTTTAAAAAACATGTGTCATGCAACCACATAAATTACCTGGTCTTAAACTAGGAAATTCCCAGTAAGTATTATGAGTACCAGAGCAACGGAATTCAATCTATTCTATGAATTGAGTCTATTTTCGCGTATGGTCTAAGTAATTATGGGCGTACGTTTATATCCTTGTGAAATAAGTAGAGCTCCTTGTGAAAGAGTTCGTCCAGGGAAGTACTGCCACCTTGCCTACTTCTACCGCCAAGCAGTAATGTCAGCATTACTGTGTTCCGGTTTTGAAGGGTAAGGGTGCTGGTGACATTACAGGTACATGGGACTTATCAACTTATGTCTCAGGGTGACGGGCGCAGTGGCAGTGTCCTTCAGATCTTTGCGATTTAAAGCTCTGAGTGACACTGCATCAGTTATGGACAGGCGTATAGCTTACCGTCAGGCGCACGATTTGTTCGGCCCGTCACTTGATATTATAAAAAAACGACACTTGAAATTGTTGGTGGAAAAATGTAAAGGAAAAAATATGACAAAAATTGTGTGAAATTATTATTTGTAATGTATTGCCAGTTCAAGAAAAAGTCAAAACTATTATTAGCTTTGGAGGAATACAAAAGGGATGAGTTTCAGAATTGTGCTGAACATTCTTATACCACTAGATCTGTTAACAATAAAGAATATATTGTACTTAAAACTATAAATTACTTTGGTCGAAGAACTAGAAATTATTCAATACCTGTCATATAAAAAGACCTGAATGTTGACGAAAGTTATTTATCTAAATTAACTTAAAAAGAAAGCGAAAAATGAATTGTTATCACAAATCTCAGATGACCAAGCTTTGTACTATTGATTCTGATATATCTATGTGAGTGTATTTTATGACGTACGATAAGTAAGGTAGGAATATAGGTTTATTGCTTTCGATGAGAGTGTGTCCCCGCAAATAAACTGCTCTGCAGTTTGGCGGGCTTTAATTTTATAGCCAAACCTATTTCATGTAATAAACGGTTTATTTATTATTATTATTAATCCTATTCCAAAAGGGTCCTACCAAAAATCGACCCAGACTTGACCTCATCCAGCGCGGATAGTGCAAACCGTTTGACCTTAGAGATCGTCAATTTCCGTTACAATCACGTTTTTCTAACTTGGTAATATGTATCTGCTAAATTGAAGACGTCAAAGAAGTTGTTAAGTTTTATTAAGTTGAGAGGAATAAGTTTTACTTTAATCTAGGTATAATTTAGAGGCTATAATGGACTGTAAACTGACAGACAGACAATTTAAGATACTACTCAAACTCTCAAAAAACGAATAAATATTATTCACAGAGTATGACTTACTTTTGAAATCGGATCCTTCAGGCGTGCACCTGCCTTTGTCCAAGAAGCAAAAGATGTAAGATTTGAGAAGCCTTTCGTTTGAGATCAGAGTTTCTACATCAAAATTGTCGTACTTAGAGTTGTACTTGTCAGCAGCAAACACCGCGACTACGACGAAAGATAAGACCAATAAAGTTTTCATTCTGGAGAAATTTCTGGAAGACAACATAATTCATATATAAATAATATGTATAAAGAATTTGAAAATAGCAAAAAATTCTCCATTGTTTAGAACTTCCAAACACAGGCATATAATAAAAACGCTTTATTTTTACTTAACTAGTATAATAAATAGGTACCTATACCACTGATATAAATACCTGAAGATTCACACACAGTCACATTACGTATACAGGTATATTGTTAAATAAATCAAGTCTTCTACGAACCATTTAGAACTATGCTTCCAACGTTTACAAAGTCAAATGTGTTCATGGACAAAGTCAACACAAGTGACATGTGTTTAGAATACAAATTGATTTAATCCTCATGTTTTTTATCAAGGACTTGATTTGCGTCAGAAATCGCAATCAAGTCGGTCCTGTGACAATCTCATTACTCATAAATCAATCATTTGACCTAAATTACAAAATATCCTTCAAAGTAGTGAAAGGACATTTCGAGGACTGGTTGCCTAACCACATCCCGTCTGGTAAATTATAATTCCATTGAAGTACTTTACAATTATGTTTATAGGAAAATACTTGACGTCAAAATTTATATTGATCTCTTAGATTTCGAGTAGTAGTAATCACGGAAATTATAATATATAGCACACAAACACAAATTCAAAGACACAAGTACTGTTTATAAACACCCACCTTTTACTTGGTATTGGACCCACCGAACTAGCGGTGCCAGAAAGCGAGAGTGCTTTTATATTGACGACGTTTAACCCACTACCTTCATCGGTGCATGGGCCAACCACTCTATGAACGTAGTATACGAATTTGTATCCATTGGGTTACTAATTAAAGACTGTAATTAAGTGTCTACTGACGGCCTCAAGGGCCTATTTACGTTGCCTATTAGCGCAACATATTCATTGAAGCGAAGTAAACAAATTACCACCTGTTGAACGAATTTTAGGTTTTTCCGGGAGGAAAACGTCGAAAAGTTACAACAATGAGAATTATAATCCATTATTAATATAAAAGAATATTTATAGAATAAAAATAATATTGCGTTGCAGTATCCACTACGATACAGGTCAGTAATTTTTGTATTTGATGCGGAGGGTGAACTCACCGAATTGCGAGGTGTATAAGATTCCTGAGTACTGTTCGGACGGAACCTATCTGGATGCGGTTATTTGCACAATGGTTTTCGTACATTTAATGTTGGGTAGTATCAATCTGTTTTGTCGGAGCCAACATGTAGTGCCGCGGTGAGTTTGTATACATGTTAAGATTAGGCACTATTTTGATTTATCTGTCGTTATTTAATTAAGTGTTTTTTGAGGTATCGTTTTTCTTTAAGGGACATGTTCAATAACGATCAAAACGCTTAAATAAATAAGGAGTAAAAAAAAGATACAGGTAAAACCAAATTTTTTATGCAAGAACAAGAAGAAACCGCCTGTTCATTACAAGAAAAATATAACTTTTTCGTTGTGAGAGTCCTCTGTGACAGACCTACCAAGTTCGTCTCATTTCTTCATCGGTTCTTTGTATTTTTTAAATTAAAATATTAATTGCGCATTTGACATCCATCTCACTTGATGGAAAGCGACAATAAGGTCGACGATGGAGGATGCAGACCTAAATAATGCCTATTCACTCCTTGAAAAGGCCCAGGTTATACCGTTCAGGGAACAAGTCTGCAGGCAGGGAATTCCACTCCGTGGTCATTCGCCATATAAATGCGAAAGCGAAACGCATCGTGTGAATTCTTGAAATATCCACAACATAAGGGTGAAACCTTAGCTTACGTCTAGTTTATTTGTATATAATATTTAGCATTACACCCTTTTAAATCTCCGAGGTTCATTAATTACGAACGCGAGTATCTACTAAAATGATATCAAAGATAATAATAATCCATTCATCCATGTCGCAAAAATCCCGTTCGCTAACTTTATTTCTGAAAGTTATTTTGTCGGTATTGTTCTCCCTTATTAAGTCATAATTTTTTAAGTCAGCTTCGAACCTTGTGTGCACCTGAAAACAGATATTTCTAAAAGTATACGAGTATACCTACTACTTACTTACAATTTCAATGACCTCATCTTGAAGTAGAACTACAAAGCATCAGCGAGAGACTTCTCAAAAGCCTCGTAGTACTTCTTCTCAGGGTCTAACTTCTTCTTGAGATCATCGTGGCTAGAAGGTAGGTACTTATTGAACGCATCTATCACCTTCCTTGCGAACCGACGCTGACGTGGAGAACATTTCTGGCACCTTGTCTTTACCACTTCTGGCAGTAATCCTTAAATGTTAAAACGGAAGTTTTGACTTAATGAAATATGGATAATATTTACATAGGCATGAGTGATACAACTACATTGCACTTAAATGAAACAAAATTAATATTTTGTTTACTATTTCCACAGAGGGTACATTCGGGAGATATGTAATTCTAATTTTAAAAAGCCACGGAACGATTCAACGGACCTTACGAATTTTTCCATGTGCTTATTGTCGTATCTTTGAATTTGGTTTTTCAACGAATTTTTAGCGACGTAATTTCAAAATTAGACGAGTAATTTCAATAATATCTTTTTATTTACTTAGTTTTATTTAATTACTTAGCAGGCATAGCGTCTGGCACGGTATAATAGAAGATGTCTGTTCGAATCTGCCTGGATCGAAGGAATTTTTTATGAGTGTTCGTGATGTTTATCTTTATATTAATAATTATAACAAACTAGTGGAGTAATTTCACAAAAATAATTGAATATCAGTTCCATAATAATTTAAAATTGTTATTGCCATAAATTAGTGTTGTGACCACAAAAAATAGTCATTTTTACTACACAGTTTGTTTGAGACTTAATTTCGTTGCTACTCAAGGTGGTTTCCGCCCATTAATACGAACATCCATTGTACATGTTTGAAATAGCAAAAATAAATAGTTGTTCCGTATAATGTGATCTGATTTTCCATAATAGGGACTTATTTATACTTATTAAATTGTATTTGTTTATTACTCACGTTTGAGCTCTTTGCCAACCGGTGGACATGGTCCTCGGTCGAGAAAACAGTTCATGTATGTCATCAGCAACCGAGGATTGTGTATGAGGTAGTCCACTTCGAAATAATCGTATCTACGGTCGTAATATTCCTCAGCTAACGACCATACAAACAGTTGACAACTTAACAATATCAATCTCATATCTCACTAACAGAAATGTTCAAAATCGCACTTGTTTTTCCAGTATATCAACGTGTCTCTACATTTATTCTATAGTCGATAAATCTACAACTAAATAAGTAGATTAAATGTAAATAAGTCACGTAAATTTTTACATTAATTTAAAAAACCTTTTCCCGAAGCAGCAATGTTTTCGTAAAATTAATTGTTTCTATAATTTCTTCTGCATGGTTTTTTATCGACGTGCTGTTGACGTTTGATAAAAGTATGTACCTTATTAACAATATGTAGCTAAGCACTTAACAATAAAAACATAACTTACTGGGAACAATAATCTTTTGATTGAACCAAAGCAAATGCCGGCAAACTATAAAACAACTTATATATAAACAAAGACACAACCTTCGAACAAAAAACTTAATTTTTACATACAGGCTGCTATTTGTTACGGAAATTAACTAACGCTAGAATATTATATGACAAAGAAGTATCATATAAAAATGCCCAGGAAACGGGTCCTTATGCATATTTCCTATTTTGTAAAAAAATAGTTCGGCGTTCGAGGGTTATTCATTGCCAACAAAATGTTCAAAATGTTCAGACACAAAATAAAGACGTCATATAATGACAATCTCGGTGGCCTAACGGTTTATACTGTGGGCGCTGGATGAGGTGGTGATGGGTTCGATTTCCGGTAGGACCAAATTGGGAAATGAACTTTTCTCGTCTCTCTTTTTCGTTGTTGTCTCGTCTTGGTCTGAGAAGTGCTACTGAATAAATTCCGTTACTCTGGTACTCGTAGTACAGGGAATTCCCTAGGTTGAGACCAGGGAATTGGTGTGGTTGTCCGGCACTTTTATATATTGAAAAAAAAATTTTTGTTAAATACAATGTTATCTATTTAGATAAAGCAATAGAGAAATATTAAACGTAATTTTATAGAGATATATTGAAAGAAGCCACACGTGCCACAAATTCACTAGTTTTAATTCGTTTAAAGTGGTCAAACAATTTAAAATCATCAACGTGAGGTGCCTACGAGTAATTCAATCGTATCTGAAGGCCACTTCAAGGCCATAAGGCTGAAATATTACAACTTTTCAAAAAAAAAAGGTATAGAAGATTTAAAGAGCGAAATTAATCGATAATTTTCTTATGCTTAAACTTATTTATCGTTCTTAAACGATAAAATTTGACATATACATAATTTGTTTCATTTTCTTGCGATAAAAGCACTTTTGACGTATGATCACATTTGACTTTATTATACCAAGGGCACGTACAATATTTAAAAGCACGGAAATTCCTTGTATCATTGTCATTCCTGAGTTTTTCTGTCCGACTCAAGTAAGATTGGTCTCAAATCTGTAAATGAACACATATTATATTGCAATTCATTTAAGATTTTTAATTAAAAAAGAAATATAAATAATAAAACATACGTGATAAATGGGTCTATGACTACTACAGGGACAATGGAATACATAGCACTCACTGGTATTCTGCGATAACACAGATTAGTTATGAACGCATCAAAAATATACTAACTTACTTCGTAAATAAATAACATTTGACAATAAATACAGTAATTAAATAAAATGTTAGAAAACAACGTTATTGAAAATATTTTTCATTGTAAAAGTTTGTCAAAACTATAAACTTTCTCATATACCTACTGGCCACCTTGGATTCAATCGACACTCGTGGCAAGAGGCTTATAGGTGACTGGGATTTAATAGAGGTGAAGCAGCAGAGCCTTGAACACCGTCGTAAAGTTGCCTGCTTATGGGTATTCTACAGGATATATCAGGAAGAGTGTGCGAAGGAATTCCATGGTTTGATTCAATATTCCCCTTTCCATCGTCGGGGGACTTGACGTGGACTGGGGTTCCACTCCTATATTGTGGATATTCCCAGGATTTGCACGAAGCGTTCCACATTTATATAGCGAGCGGCTATGGAGTGGAATTCCCTGCCTGCAGACTTGTTCTCCGAACGCTATAACTTGGACCTTTTCGGCGAAAATGAATAGGCATTATTTAGGTGTGAGTGTACATCATCGACTTCATCGTCACTTTCCATCAGGTGAGATGGAGTTCAAAAGCGCACTTATTTTTGAATAAAAAAAAAAACAAAAAAATATAAAACATGTATTTTGTATGAATATTTAACTACCTCCGTGGCCGAATGGTTACCATACCGGACTGCCACGCAGAGGTCCCCGGGTTCGATTCCCGGGCCGGGAGAAATATTTGTATGGCCTACATTTATTTCTCTCGTGAGTTTGGGTGTAATTTGTGGTTGTCTATGTGTGTGTCCATGGTACCCGCGACACAGGGTTTCCCTAGTGCGGGGCTATGTTGAGTGTGTGCGTTATTATTATTATTATTATTATTATATGCTAATAATACTACCTTAAAATTGAGTGACGACATTGTACACTATGAACATTATGAGAATTGTGAAACGCACAAACTAGATATGAAACGGGTATTCCCGAGACTGCACGAGAATTTTCCGGAAAACGCGCGACTTGTTTTTTTTGGTTCGCATCTAGTAGTTTATACATTATATAATTGGCATAAGTTCATTATGCTATGAACTATAAAACGAAATTATGCTTCCATTCCGTTCCCCGGTAATGATGTGATTGGACTTAAAATTATTGTAACGTCTATACTACTTTATGGAGAGCAATACAATTATTGACCGCAGATAACACAATTACAATTCTTAAATATTATTCTAGAATACAACACATAAGGCATATATAAATTATTAATTATTAAATTAGACATCAACCTGTAGTATGTAGTTTGTTTCTTTCTAAATGTAGAGGTAGGCAAAAAGTTTATTGTATTTTCCATATAAATATAACAACGTTACTATTTTTTGTACATCTGATAATTCATTATACATGCTCAAATGACGTATAATCAACGCATTGTACAGTTAACACCAATAAACTATTTTAATTTCCAGAATTCGAAAAATTTTAAAATCTAAGTGTATTTATATCGACCAAGGGGAAACTAACTATCAAGGTACTAATTATCATTTAAGTGTTTGATTACTACACACTCACTTTAATTTCCCGGCAAGCAATTTAAGGCTTCATTTTCCACTCATGTTTTATTTTTAAATTATAGTTCATATTGCAATCGATTTATAGTACCTATAAAATTAACTGTATTCAAAGTGTCACGAAGATTTACAGCCCGGTTACATTACATCATTGTTCCTAATGCTAAGACCCAAACGTGACGTAACAGCTGAATCCTATGTCATCAAGTGACAATTTTGTTCTTAGTGGCATACTTTCCACCTTCCGCCTATTGTTGCAAAATTGAACTTTTCAGATCACTACACTGTTGCTTGTTTCTCAGTGTTTAAGTAATTATGGAGTTGAGTGTACGCTAATTATAGTTCTACGGTAATACTTACCATAGAAGTTATGTTTATAGCAAGGTTGCCAGACTTGAGAGAATGATAGTTATGTTTATAGCAAAGTTGCCAGACTTGAGAGAATGAGAATTCAAATAATACTTTGTGATACACAAGTTTTAGTGCTAGTAGCAGTAGAACTCCTAGTAACAATTGAGATCCTTGTGAAAGAGTTCGTCCAAGGAAGTACTGTCACCTTAACTAATTCTACCGCCAAATAGTAGTGTGAGTATTACGGTGTACCAGTTTGGGAGGGTAAGGGTGCTGGTGAAATTACAGGCACAACTTGTCAACTTATGTCACAGAGTGACGGGCGCAGTGGCAGTGCCCCTGAGATCTTTGCGATTTAAAGCTGTGACAAACACTACATCTGCTATGGATATGCATGTCCTTTACCACCAAGCGCACGATTTGTTCATCCTGCCACTTGATATCATAAAAAAAGACAATCCCAGATCAAGAACAATTAAGTTTCTTTTCTAAATTTCCCTGTCGGGCAAGCATCCTCTCTATCTGAATTCACGCAAAATTTTGGTACAAAAATTCATTGTAAGTACTTGTCTCGTAACCCTGTATTGTAATGCGCTCTTCATAATATTGATGTTATGTTACGTCATGTGTGTCTAGAATAGTATCACTTGTGGATTTACACATTGTATTATTTTAGAAAGCACATAGTAAATCAATTTACTGTATCTAAGTTACATTTGGTTTTAAAATAATGAATTAGGTTTTTTTTGGCTATGCCTTACGCCGATTGCCTAATCCTTTCATCACTATGGCAAGCATTACAGTGTATGCCAAAGATACGGTAACAAGGTTTTTTAGTTAAAATGTCCACGTGCAATTCTGGAGAATAAATATAAATAAATTATACAATCTAATATTACATAATATAATTCGGAAGACGACAGACCACCTTTAAGGTGGCCCGATACACCCGACCTGGTGAAGGAAGAGGCTCGATGTAATCAGCGCAAGATAGCTCGTTGTGGCGATCTTTGAGGGAGGTCCATGTTCAGCAGGGGCGTGGAAATGATGATGATGGTATAATCTAGGAACGTCGTATAATCATTAATACAAAGATCGAACACTAAGAAAAATTCCTTCAATCCGGCTGGATTCGCGCCCAGGACCAGCGCCCACAGCATACCATGCTTGACGCTCTGCCAACTGAGCTACGTAACCAACTAGCAGACCTTACGAATTTTTCTATGTGTTTGTTGCAGATCTCTGTTTTTGGTTTTTATTGACTTTTTGCCGTGAGAAATCTGGTATGGTAGGTTTCTGCCGACAATTCGGTAAAAAAGACGAACTTTCTGCGAGACATTGTTTCACTAAAAATTTAATCACTTAGATATCATGTAATTTAACAGCCCAGGAAATATTGTAAAATATTTCTTTTTAATGGATACTATTATATATGTATTAAGGTCAACTTTGTCATTGAAGAAATAATACTGGTAGATGTGACCATAAGTCATTTATATATTTTCATAAGACTGAACATCAAACAGTGCTTGAAGAAAGATAAATCACATCTTAAAATTTTACAAAACTAAGTAACACTGTTGTTATTTGACATAGAAAAGATAACACAATGCACAGGGCGGAAGGGACTTGTTATTTTACAATTCGGCAGAAAGAGCGTCAAATCTTACCCAATTATTCGGCACAACATTCTCTTCGATAAACTTTTTACCGAACATTCAGCCGACTATTCGTATTCGTTAAAATCCCGATTCAGCTCGTCTCTATATTACGTACACGGGGTTATTAGTAAAATACTAACAATATTACAGGACTAATATTACTGATATCATAAACAACCACTTTTGTCCCGTGACGTCTTTCTAAAACACAATTACTTTACTAAAATGTTTGTACTATCTGACATTTTGAAGTCTGTATTTGGTAGTAAAGTAGAAATTCAACCGTGCAAGCGTCCTCCGCGACGAATATTCTTGCTTGTGTATGAAACTGAAATGTGATGAATTATAAAAAGTCAAAATACAAAAATTGTTGTTTATGATATTAGTAATATAATACTGCGAGGTTATTTGAATTTTACAAATAACCCAGTATAATTAACCTTAGGTAATGTTCTACTGTCATTATCTACGACGAAATGTATTTTTCATATAATATTATATTGTTATGCTCTATCTGTCTAATGATTTTTGTTTCCGTATTAAAAGATTAGATTTTTATATTATATAGTACGGTGCACCACGCCTAAAGGTATACTGTGAGTCAAATTGTTTGTGAAACACTGTTTCTCATAAATCTTGTAAATAATTCCAGTTTCTATGGCTTGTCCTGTGTGGTTGAGTATACAGTTAACACCATGCTTAGCTTAGGTTCAATTCACTTATGAACAAATGAGTAAATGAATAAGTAAATGACATTTATTTGCCTAAAGTATGATTTCCAAAATTTGGTACATGTGGTACCTAATTGGCATGAAAATCTGCGCTTTTCCTACATTTTAGAATCTGTATAATTCTTAAACAATTGCAATAGTACTAATACAACTTTTAATTGTCCATATTGTGATGGTACGATGTATATAAATATATCGTAAGACGTGCGCTACTACTTCTACTCTGTATACATTTATAAATGAATGAATGAATAAGTTTACCGCAGCCCTTAACGTATACGTAGGTCCAATGCAGGCTGAGAATTAAATGAATACGGTCAATCTTCTAACATGATTTCGAGGAGAATTTTTTTTAAATAAAAATCAAGGCATTTCTTTTCATATATGTATGTCAATGTATAATTTTGCGTAGTATTTAGTATGTTTCAATACATGCTGTGATGCATACCATTCAGTATGTTGTGAAACATACTATAATAGAGCCATTGCTTAACTACAACTTTTTTATAATCCGAATTTCTTATTTAAAAATTTGCGGCAGCAGTCTCCAGGCGTTCAAAGTATTTCTTCTCAGGATCGAATTTGTTTTTAAAAGTTTCGTATTCTGCGGGCAGTTTCTTCTTCATTCCTGTCAGGAACTTCTTAAGGATCTGCTTCTGTGCCTCTGTACACTTGGCACAAGCTTCTTTTACTACTTCCGGGATATCCTCTGAAATAAAAATATATATGTAAATATAAAGGAAATTTTTAAATTTTTTTAAATTCTATTTTTGCGACCCGGAACTTAATTTTGGTCATTGAAAACTTGGCATTTTGTTGTAAAGTACATCTTATAGCTAATGCTACAAGTGTACACAAAAAGTAAGAACACAATTTTAGGGTAATTATATAAATCACGTAGACATCCTGTTCT